GACCTTGACCCTGAAGGGAGCAACCCTTGACCGGGAAAAGAAGTAAGAAGGAGAAACCTTTAGAACTCCAGATTAAGAAACCAAATTCCTCTGGAAGCCTCACTCTGGGAAGGCTTAGTACGCTTCGGAAAGCATGGAAAGCCAATACCCTAGATAATTATGCCTTTCGAAATTCTTGTCAGAATCAGCGTTGTAACTCACTACTTCAATCTACTCCCGCGAGCTTGGTAAAGTACATTCTACCCGACACGTCCCAAACTTACAAAAGTATCTATCCGACGAGACTCTTGCAATTCCCCTCGATGAGGTCGAGTTCCACAAGAGCCTCACCTTCTTGGAAGAATCGTAGTGACCATGAACCGAGGTCAAGCGGATGAAAAAACGCCGCTTCCCATTAGTGAAAGTACACTGGAATACTAACCAAGGACCTGGAGTCACTTGGGAGCGCGAGAATTAGTCGATTAGGAAGTATCCCCACTTTTAGGCTCGATTATTCATGCCTACTCCTTGCCTAAATTCAAATTTCAAGACGAAATTCCCTCTAACGGGGGGATGATATGACAACCGTTAATTTCTGGTCAAGTCAAAGTCAACCAAAGTCAACAAGTCAAACCGTTCAACTCATTTTGCACGTGGGTACTAGAGTTTATGTTAAGTAAATACTAAACAACTTGCTATTCTAATGAGAGATCATAAATCAAAAAGTGCGAACATCTAGATCTCCTTAACCTAAAACTATGGTACGTGGCGAGCCAAACCGATAAACCAATGTTGCATACTCATTGGGAGTGTGTAAGATCCTTAAACAAGGCTTAACATGGTTACGGACCTTGCGTGGCGAAGCCGGACACTCACAAATGCCACACACGAAACCTCTCTCAATCATTTTCACTCTATCTCTCTCTCTCTCTCTATTTAGAATCTCCCCCAAAACTCTCTTTGTTTGAGAAATCTCTCTAAGTATGTGAAATCTCTACCAAAACTCTCTTTGTATGAGAAATCTCTCTACGTATGTGAAATCTTTCCCAAAACTCTCTTTGTATGAGAAATCTCTCTAAGTATGTGAAATATCTCCCAAATCTCTCTTTGTATGAGAAATCTCTCTAAGTATGTGAAATCTCTCCTAAAACTCTCTTTGTATGAGAAATCTCTCTAAGTATGTGAAATCTCTCCCAAAACTCTCTTTGTATGAGAAATCTCTCTAAGTATCTAAAATCTCTCCCAAATCTCTCTTTGTATGAGAAATCTCTCCAAGAATGTTAAATCTCTCCCAAATCTCTCTAAGTATGTGAAATGTCTCCCAAAACTCTCTTTGTATGAGAAATCTCTCCAAGAATGCGAAATCTCTCCCAAACCTCTCTTTGTATGAGAAATCTCTCTAAGAATGTGAAATCTCTCCCAAATCTCTCTCAAAAGTTCCTTAAACTTTTTATAGTCTTTCGGGCCATCCCGACCCTTAACCGGGTCAAAAACAGCTTAAAACCGGGTAAAAACGAGAAAAACGAACTTAAGGAGTCGAAACCCTTCTCAAGGAGTCGAAGCCTCTTAGGGCCGAACTCCTTGGACCGAAAGCACCAATGAACCGAAACCAGGACCAGTGGCCGAGACCAAATCTCGCTGCCACAACCGAAACCGAGACCTGTAGCCGAACTAGAGAGTCGAGACCTGGAACCGAACTTGTGAGCCGAGACCTGGAACCGAACCTGAGAGCTGAACCCCCCAAGAACAGAGACCGAGTCTCGGTCTTCCTCCCTTCGCCTCTCGGTCCTTTCTCTTCTCCTCTCGGTCTTCTTTCTCTTCTCTCGGTTCCTTGCCCTCTCTCGATCCTTCTTTCTCCCTTCTCGGTTCTTTGCATCAGAGGACCGAACCTCCGGCCAGACTTCGGGATTTTGACATTTTTGGCCCATTTTCAATATTTTTCACATTTTGAGTCCGTTTTTTGAGATTTTAACGCGGGATTTTCTCACAAACTCATATTTTAACATAATAAACCGTAAATAATCATAATTTAATCATATTTTCATGAAAATTCTTATTTAAATAATAAAATCTAGTGGGTGAATTATTAAGGTGGAGTGTTGACCTTGCTTTATCTTATGACACAAGCAACCACTCCGATACCCACTCCACGTCCCTACTCACCATCAACCTTACCTAGTCACATCATTGTACTTTTCCCACCTTTTTCTAACCTCACAATTGGTCAAAGGCTAGAAAAGTCTCCACTCTCCTCACACTTCTCTCATTTTCTCATTCTTCCACCAAAGATCAAACATATCCTCTCTCTCACTTCCTCTCTCTATAAATTCGAGATTCAAGGCATACTCCAAGACTTTTCTCCTTCATTTATTAAGTCTCATCATCTTTCTTATGATTATTACACATCCTCCTACTCAAAATCATAAATTGCTTACACAAGCATCATCACATTCTTGTTAGATATTCGAATCTTCAAGTGTTCATGAGTTGAACACTTCCCTTCTTCAACACTCATCTACTGAAATCACTCAAGGTGAGTTCATACCCCTACATTTTCATGTTTTCTCAAGTTTCCAGGGGGGGAATAAAAGTTAAACCACCAAGAACATAACTAAACTTTTCTAACAGCCTTCATCAGAAAAGTTCAACTCCATTCACAGACTGTTTTGGGCAACTTAAACATTTTTGTTTTCAAAACTGTACAAGGTTCAAGTAGTTCAAGTTCTTAGCTTTAAAATGACTACTTGCACGTCTCCATACGATTTTTCTACAATTTATGGTGATTTTTACAAAACTGCCTATCATTTCAAACACCAATCCGGACCAGTCTGTGATTATGGACTTTTTCACCCAAGTTGGGGGTAATTAAAAATCATGATAAAAATTATGAGTAAACTAGACACATTTTGGGAACTCTCAGAATTTATGGATTTAGTTTTCGACTTCTTATGATTTTTCTATTACTTTTCTAAAACAGCGCAGAAAGATTAAAGTTAGTTAACAGCATATAAATTTCATAACACCTTGTATTATGTTGAGCAAAGTGTATAACAAAAAGTTCTAAATATTGAATGTGTTTCCTTGTTAGTTTATCATCATAAAATGAAACTTAGTCATTCATGATAAGATTATTTATTCATTTAGAACACGAATATTAAGCTATAATAAGCATAGTTTAATGGATTCATCACACTAATGCATTTTCATAAAAGAGTTCTTATATATTACGAACGTTTTGGATAAACTATAATAGGTATAGTTTATGATACATCACATAACACACTCGTACAAAAAAGGTACATTCATACAGAATGGTTTTACACTCACGCACACTACACGTAAACTTGTTAACCTAAATTGTGGGACAATCTCTTTCCGTACGTCCGAGTGCGGGATCTAATTCCTGGTAGTTATAATCAGAGTCTCCTGGAGGGAGAACGTGATAGTTGTGTATAGATCTATATTGGGTTTGACACCCCACACCTTGCTGCTAGCTACAGTGGGACTTGCAGGTCTACGGGTGACAAATGTCATTTCAGTTTCGCGACGCCTGAGAAACGTCGTGGCTGGTTCATTCAGTCGTAGTATGATTATAACGACTCACATAGGGAGATAACAATACATAAAGTTTACGGGATTTTTATAAGACCTAAATGGGTTTTATGTCGATTTAAAATCACTTTTTATGTTAATAAGTACAGATATTACTGTATACTTTCAGTTTTGGTATTTATGACTACACATCATTTGAAACCACATTAATATCTCTAAGTATAGCCAATACTTGTTATTTCTCAGTCCTGGGATTTAGGACTACATATACATAAAGTATTAACAAACATAAGAAATTATAGGAATTTCATTTAATTCAAGCGCGTTTATGTCGATTTAAAACACATATCATTTTCTATCTGTAAGAGAGGCTACTTATACATTTTGGTCTTCGGTTATAAGACTACATTTCTCAGATTTTAAAGAAAATATCAGATTTTCTGGATACATATTCTAACGCTTTTACAAGGAAAACGGTTTACTTCTCTAACAAAATCTCTTATGAACTCACCAACCTTTGTGTTGACACTTTTTCAAAACTACTTGTATTCTCAGGAATTCAGTGAAACAGGAAATCAACAACGTTTTGAGGATGGGACGATAATTCGTCAAACAGTTCATTTTGTATCATAATGTAATTAATGTAAATCATGTAAACATATACTTTGATGTAACTTTTTCAATTATATTTGTGATGGTTGTAATTACTTTGAGCACTATTATACTCTTTGTTGTGATACTCTACATGAAGTCCTCCACGCCGGATGTTTCCTCCATCCTTAGTTTGGGGGTGTGACATATATACATACATACATACATATATATATATATATATATATATGTGTGTGTGTGTGTGTGTGTATGTGTGTAGTTATCTTATGGAAATGTTGTATATATTTGATTAATAAAAATTCTATTTGTTTCTTGCACAATATCTCTTTCTAACTTCTTGTTTAGATATGCTTTCTCCAACAATTATAAGTGAGATCACAAGTCACACGTATCGTACATATTGACTTTTGATCACATTCACTCTTTCGTTCATCGGTTCATCATTTCATACCTGATATCCTCATTGATGTTGTTCTTATCTCGGACACTTACTGGTGACTCTTTGTCATTGACCCATTCTTTAAATCATCTTTGGGGTTTATCTCTAATTAACCTTACCACCATGGTCTCTTGATTGTCTCCTTTAACTTCTATTTTTTTGCTTTCAACTTGTTTGCCCTCAGTATTTTATATTGGCTGCATTCTTTTAATGAACTTGATGTTTCTCATAACCAATTATGGGCTTTTCTAGCTGTTACCACTTACCAGGATTCTACATAAACTCATTATTCATTACTATTATTCATTGGTCATTTTTAAAGAACTTTTGTTGTGGCTTACTATGCTGTCTATTAAATTTACTTCTACGATTGCAACATACTTTCATTAAAAATTTTCTTATTAACACATTATTTTTTCCACATATACAATACAGGTAGAGAGGATGGTTTAAAATTCCCAACATGTAATGAGTTTGTGCTCAAATATCATAACATAACCACTTTAGCACTAAAAGGATTCAAACTTCATGACTACAAGGCCCGTATGCTGGTGAAGGTACACATAGTGCTTTTCCTATTTCCTACTTAACAACAAGTAACAAGTATTGAAGTATGTTGTTAATATTTCAGGGGCTACAGAAATTGAAACATATTGACCTTTCAATATCTTACTCATTCACGGGTTTCTTTTTAAAGTAAGCAATCATGAACATGAATCAAACAAAAATTTTTTACTTGAGTTGTGGATTGAAATTTTGGAATGATAGGAACCTTAGTATGAATGGTGGTGGAGATAATTTGGAGGTGATGATTTTAAGGGACTGCATGCATCTCAAGGAAATTGAAGTGGAACGCTTTATGGCAGTTGTACTTGCAGGAGAATTCAAACACCTCAAACACCTTGTACGTAGTAAACCAAATTCATTCATACTTTTGTTGTGATTTTGGTCCCTGCTCAACTTGAAAAAGACTATTTTGCTCTTCTGATGTCTTTTCTAGATAATTTTAAATAAGGGACCTCTCTTTTTAGTCATTTGAAAAGAAAATCCAAAAGAAATTACGTAAGGGGAAAATAGTCTTTTCAAGTTGGAGTAAGGATGAAAACCGTAACAAAAGTATGCCAATTTTGAAAATTTGAAACTTGAGGGACCAAAACCAAAGAAAAAGACAAACCACAGGGACCAATTTTGCATTTTTCAAAAATAAGAAAATTTTGAAAAGAAATACGGTAAATAAAATTGTTTTTATAGGTTTGGGTGCAGCTTGGAGTGTTGTTGATGTTTCTAAAGGATCAACAATTGCGGTTTTTGGTTTGGGAAATGTAGGGTTATCTGTAAGTATCAAAACATGTTTTTATATCATTTTTATTGGTTAATTGAAATGTTAATTGATTAGGTTGCACAAGGGGCTAAAATAAGGGGCGCAACTAGGATAATTGGGGTGGACACTAATCTTGAAAAGAAAGAGAAATGTATTAACACATGATTTATTTTCATAACAAGGGCTAAATCTAACAAGTCTTTCTTGATGTGATTAGTATAAAAATTGTTCATTAATAATGATTTTTGTTATTTGTGCAGCAAAAGCTTTTGGAGTAATAGATTTCATCAACCCAAATGACATTTATGAGACAGTTCAACAGGTACACTAGTACTATGTTTATGTTAATAAATACTCCAATAATAAGATTAATAAGCATAATATAGTTGATTTCTTATATTTATGATTTCAGGCTATAAAGCGACTTACAGATAGTGGTGTAGACTATTCATTTGAATGCATTGGAGACATTGAGATGATAAATACAACTTTGCATTCTTGCTGTGATGTAACCAAACTAACTCCTTTCTTAATCTCTCAATTTTTAAAAGGTAAAAAAAAAGATAATTATTTTTGTCATTAATAATTAGGGGTGGGGTGTGACAAATACTCTTGGGGTTCCTAAGACAAACCCAAATGTAGCATGTCATTATGAATTATTTCTTACTGGAAGAACACTAAAAGGGTCTCTTTTTGGAGGATGGAAACCAAAATCAGATATTCCCAGGTAATAAGTACACTTATTTCAAACGATGTAAGTCTCATACTTTAAAATTTATATAAAATTAATAGTTTCAACATTTTATCATAATTTTATTATTAAAAATGTTTATAATTCGAGTTTAACTTTACATAGGTAAATAATGTAAGGTCAAATATTAATTAAATATCATATCTCAAGTGTGTTCCCACATTCTTTGGATGGAGAAAAGGGTAATTTTGTCTTTTATAACTAATATTCCATGTTTGATTCTAGCATATTACTTTTTTGACCTTTATTTGATCAGGTCACAAGAATTATCAGAGCATGGGTTCATTAGTCTTAAAGAATTATGAAAGTCAAGATGCAACTCTACTTAGTTGGAATTTGATGTTTATCATCTTTGTGTATATCTTTTTAGTTTGTATATCATTACATTGTAGAAGGTGTCCCTTAATAGCAATGTAGTATTAGGTTATATAGTTAGGGAAAACCTCTTAATAACAATGTACAATTAGATCCCCATAATATCAATGTATTACAACTTTTTGACATGATGTTATTGGATGAAATTGATTGTTTTGGTATATAATTGTTTACATATTTTTGTATTATGCATAAATGAGTATCGTAAACACGCACGTTGATACGCATTTATGACAGGGGCTTCCTTGATACGTATTGCATGTCATAAAAACGCATGTTGCAAGGTTACGACACGCAAACATGTGTCGTCTTTCTTTATGATAGGGCCTTCCTTGATATGCATTGTGAGTCCTAAATGAGCGTCGTAAATGCGTGTCGTCTATAGACGATGCGCAAAAGCGTGTCGTCTCTTGTTATGACAGGGCCTTCCTTGACACGCATTTGCGCATCATCTGAGCATTTTACGACACGCATTGCACGTTGTAAAAGGCTATTTTTCTAGTAGTGATTTCTCCCGTTTTGTAGATGTCAAAATCTAACAATTATGGTCTTCCCAAATTCTTTGGAAAAATCTTTCCATATGAAGATGATATTCTGTGATTGGATCATGGAAATGGAAATCATGCTTCGCTTCCTCCACCCCCTCCAATAATTCTCCCTGACCCACGTGTTTGTCAACTTGAAAAGTTCAAGATCACTCAAGCCGTATTGGCAAGCAAAAATGAAGATGGAAGGTTTGTGTGTGCACACATCTTGGAGATGAAGTCACACATTGATAGACTGGGGATGTTGGGTGTCATTTTCCCAAGGAAGTTGGATTTTGACTTGGTTCTTCCATCACTTCCTGAATCATATAGTGAGTTCATTAAATATTACTATATGATGGACCACGATATGACCCTCAATGATCTTACCTATTTGCTTATTGCTGCTGAATCAGCAATGATTTGGCACATTGGTGAAGCAAATTTAACTAGTAGATCAACCTCCCAAACTGCCATGGACATTGAAAATTGCAACATTGGAAGTCCATAAAAGTATTCTCTTCCCAACGGAAAGGGATTGGTCATGGTTAAACCATTTGACCGGATGGTAAAGAGAGGGCTAAATCTGACATTATCCCATGTAATGTTCCAAAAGAGTCCATTTGTTTCTACTACCAACAGAAGGGGCATTGGATGCAAAGCTGCCATATCTATCTGAAGGATCGTGAAGATGAGAGAGTCAAGATGTATGACTCTACTTCAGGTAAATCCACTATCTAACTCTATTAAGTTCCTATATGTAGATTCTTAATACAAGATGTGATAAGATTACATTTTAATGTTTTATAGTATCGAAGAAAAGAAAGAAAGATTAAAAGGAAGAGTGAGCAAAGTTTGATCACGAAGAAATGGATTTCGATCGCATGGTTTGAAGATCGGATTTTTGAGCTGCTACAAAATTCTCATTCCTTGGATCTATTCCCAAGGTCATGTTTTGGGACGTTCCAGCATCAAGCAAAATTCTAGAAGAATTTCGTCAACATACAACTTCGGGGTTTAGTCCACTTACTCTAGAAATGCAAACAACCCTTGTTGCTGTTGATAAACCGAAGAAAGGAGGTAAGGGATCAAAGAAAGGAGTAACAAAGGCTGCTACAACAGAAGGTCCATCAGGTGCTACCAAAACCTTCGCCTAAAAAGCGAAAGCCACCAGCAGCCTCTTCTGCTTCTACTCTCAAAAGAAGAAAATAACCAGCTCGCAAATGAAGAACTCCTACACCATTGGTAAGCGAAGATTCAGACTCTGAGACTGAGTCGGATGTTCGGATTGAAGAAAATTAGCCAATTCGTAATGAGGAAGAAACTGCGAACCCAGACCCTCCAGTTCGCAATGAAGAGGTTACCCCGAACCCAGAGGTAAATCCATTTATCAATGACTCTATTCCTTCTCCTCCTCCTTCACCAAAAACAACCTCAACCCCTATCACTATTGCTCCATGTCCCTCTCATGTTACTTCATCTCAACCTACAACTATTTCTTCTTCCACACCAATCTTGACTGATTCAACCACAACACCCATCACTATAACGAACCCTGAAGTCACGGTCAACATATCTGATACGGGGGCTGCACCTTCATTCTTCTCTACCTATGTTTCTTCATCCATCTCTCCCATTAGCAATGATGATCCAGATATGATCTTTGGAGATATTGGTGATGATGATGATCTTGGCGGATTCACTTATAGTCCATTTTAGATCTGGACTGACAATAAAGATGAAGCCTCATTTTCAAAACATCAGCTTAAAGCCATTCATGAGAAACTTGGCCAACTGTTGCAAGCCTCCAAGGCTTCCTCCTCTGACGCCTATTCAAAAGCAACTGCTGAGTCATTGTTTGAGCGAATAATGAAAGAACATGCTACGAATGCTGCAAAGATGAACGCAACAGTTTCGGAATCTGTTGCTGTCTGCAAATCCACGACCAAAAAAGTCGATAAAATAATCTTTGAAAGAACTACTTTCATGGAGAATTACAGAACTACCTACAACAACAATACTGCCTCTATGAATGAAGCTCTTCAAAACTTGGGGTCAATGTTAAAAAATGAGAAGATCAACTTAGAGAAGATTCGTAGTGGATTGCAGCAAGACCATGCATCATTCCAAACATCCCTCTCTTCGTACATTACAAAGCTTCAGGATGATTTGGCTATGGAAAGTAAAGTCATGGATGCACTGGCCAGGAAGACAGAGAAGGTCAAACTCTTAGATCAAAAGCTTCAACGGTCTGAGAGACAAGTCAAGGATTTGCTATCTGAGAAGGCAGTTGTACGTAGCTGCATTACAGATGTCACCAGTTTACTCTCAGATATCATTGAGACCAGGGAATCAATGATTTCTATTATGGTTCGCAAGCACCTTGCTGAGAAATTAAACCCCATCTTCGCCATGCGATATCATTTACAGGGTGTTTCTCCTCAATCGTCTGAATAGAAACAAGGGGAAGAAGGTGCATCTAAAGTAGAACCTCCAAAAGTCCTTGCTAAGCCCATTATCAAGAAAGAATCTAAGGGTAAGGAAAAGTTGATCAAAGATGAGCCCATTATTGATGACGATGAAGACGAAGCGCCTAATGGAGATGAATTTAAAAGGAGGAAGGCTCGTGATGCTGAACTGAATGAAACTTAGCGAATCGTCAATGAAGCTGAAGAAAAGGAAAGGGCAGAAAAGGAAGCTCAGGCCACTCTCAAGAGTAGGATGTTATTATTTCCTAAGTGGACCTTGAAGAAGATTCAACATGATGTTGTAGAGTGGCCTAGCTAATATTGCTTAGATCCTATTGCGTCTTTTGATCGTCAAATTTCTCAGGACTCACAACTTGATCTACCAATCACACCAAAAGCATTTAGGTTCCGTGCTTTTGTGAAGGTTGTGAATGCTCCTATCACAGATAGTAGTGTTGATCAACTACTGCTCTCTTTTTACTTAAAGCACATGAAGCCCTAGTACGAAACCTAGAGTGCACAAAAAATCGTTGCTGTGAAGTTCATTGAGCCAATCAAAACCGAAAGCTTCCTAAATGTGAAGTTTAAAGTTGTGAGAGGATCGGCTTGTCAAGCCAACGAATTCACCCCGCAGACTTTCCTTGTTTGAATCCTAATTATTGGATCGTTCTGTACAACATGTTGTTGCGAGAGAAAGTTAAGTACGAGCCTATGATTTCCCATCTTGTGACAACCATCAAATTCTGGTCAAGTCAAAGTCAACAAAATTCAGCAGTTCAAACTGATAAACTCATTTAGTGCTTGTATGACAGGGTATCTTCTATGTTTTCCTATGTACAACTCTCTATCATAATACAAAGTATCACTTGGAAGTTTCACATGATCAGAAATTCTAAACCCTAACCAAGGTCAGTGATGTAACGACTCTTTAAAGCACTATTACATACCCTTCGCGGGTGTAAAACACTCATAATAAGGCATAACGATGCTTACAAACCTTGCCTTATGGGACCAAACACTAATAGAGGCCACTAGCAAAGTCTCTCTCAGTATCTCTCACTCACTCACTCACACACACTCTCTCTCTCTCTCGCAAATCTCTCTCAATATTTTCATAAACATCTGTGCCTTCCCGACACTTCAATTACTTGAAAATTCCTTGAAACGGGAAGAAAATACAAAAAACAGCACAATAGGAGCGAGACCCTCTCAAGAGGCGAACTCTCCTGAGGTGAACCCTCCTAAGGAAGCACATCCTCCTGATGGGGACCTTAGTGCCTAGCCGAGAAATTTATCCCTGGTCCTCGGAATGAAGCCCCCACTCTCTCCGGATGCTTTCGCTTGTCAAAAGCCAAGAAGGTTCGCTCATGACATCAAGATTCACTTTGCCTCGACAAACTTCGCCTGCAAGTCCTCCCGAAACGAGACCTCTCCTTCGCCTGCGAATCATCTCAGACTGAAACTTCCCTCCTACCACGAACCTATCACCCACAAACCCTCCCTTCGCGTTTGAACCTCTCAGCCTCCCAGGTTCGCTTCTTAAGCCCGGTTTTTGACCACTTTCGCGTTTTATGCCTGTTTTTGATGATTTTGACGGAGGATTTTCACCCAAATTCATATTTTGACATATTAGACCCCATAAACTCATATTTTATTTCTATTTTGGGGCAAATTCGTATTATGGATCATATCTGTTGTATAAGATATTATCTACGGGTTGTTGATTTTTCCAAGAAGTTATGACACCAAGCCATCCCCATATCCACTTTAGGTCACTATTCACACCTTACCTAGTCAAATCATTGTCCTTTTATGCACTACCCAACACTCCACCATATTTCTTTCATCAAGTCAACATAAAACTATATACTCTATCTATTTCCTAAAAGTCTCATTTACTTTATCCAAAAATCAAACTCTCTCTCTCTCTCTCTCTCTCTCTCTCTGTCTTCCTTTTCCTTCTCTCTGGAACTCAAACCTTCCAGTAAGTCACGAGATCTCCTTCACTCTTCATAAGTTCTTCATTATTAACCTTAATATTCTATATTCCTTCACTTAAATCATGGATTTCTTACACAAATATCATCATATTTGTTTTTAGGACCTTCAAATCTTTAAGCATTGTCCAAGTGTTCTTGACTTGGAAACCCCTTTTCTTCAACCATCCATCTCAAGAAAACAATCAACGTGAGTTCATACCCCCCCCCCTTCTTTTCATGTTTTCATCTAGTTTTATGGGGGAGAATACAAGTTACAACATCAAAACACGCTTAAACTCAAATGACAGCTTTCAACAGAAGAATTAAGGCTCAATCACGATCTATTTTGACCATATAAAACTCCATAACCTTTAAAATTGTTCAATATGCAAGTATTTCAGGTTTATACCCTTCAAATGACTACTTGCACATGTTCATACGATATTTTTACAATTTATGGTGATTCTTAAAAAACTGTCTATCGCTGCAGCAAAGATTTCAGACCAGTCAATGAAAATGGTCATTTTGACACTAGTTAGGAATCATTAAAATTCATAATAAAAATTGTGAGTATACTAGACACATTTTCTAAACTTCTAAAGTTCACAGATTTAGATTTCGACTCACGATGATTTTTCTGTGATTTTTACAAAAAAGTGACAAAAAAGTAAAACTAGTTACAAATAGTTTATAAGATATTAACACTTTGTAATGTGTTGAGCAAAGTGTTTATCTGTGATGACTACATATGTACTTGTGTTTTCTGTTAAGTTACACTTAAATAAGACAAATACTCATTCATTATAAGGGTTCTTAGTCATTACAAATATACAAGATGAACTATAATAAGTATAGTTTATGATTTGCTAAATTACTATTTACTATGAAAAGGTTCAATTCTCACTACAAATGGGATTTTCATTACTACCTACATTCATGATAATCTATAATAGGTATAGTTTATGTTACATCAAATCTATGAACTTAATAAGGAAGGTTATATTCCTACTACCAAAAAGGATTTTCAGTTACATGTAAACTCGTTAAATCTGGTTGTGAGGCACTACTTCATTGTACTCTTATAGTACTTGTTAAAATCCTGTAGTTATAACCAGAGTCTCTTGTAGGGAGAGTGTGATACTTGTATATAGATCTATATTGGGATTGACAACCCTCACCTTAGTTGCATGCAACAGCTATACTGACAGGTCTGGGGTGACAAATGTCATAACATTCCGACACCTGAAGAACGTCGTCACAGGTTACTATGTCAATCAGTATGGTTATAATAACTCACGTAGAGAAAATAACAACACACATAGTTTGCAGGGATCTCTACATTCAAAATGGGTTTTATTTTTATAAAACTGCTTACACTATTATAAGTATGGTAAAGTACTTGTACATTTTGGTCTTTGGGTCTTAAGACTGCAACTCATTTTATAAGGAAAACATTGGATTTTTCTTGTGCATACATTACATTTACAAAGCAAGGTTTTTAGCTATATGTACAAAACCTTATGCACTCACCAACGTAATCGTTGACACTCTTTCAAAGTTTACTTGTATTCTCAGGTAATCAATAATAACAGCTGACTACCAGCTTTTGAGGATGGATCGCTTCGGTGTTAGAAAAAACATTTTAACATTATATTGTAATCGATTTTGAAACATGTACTCTTATAAAACCATGCAACTTTCTCGATTATATTTATAATGGTTGTATTTACTTTGAGCATTATTATACTCATTGTTATGAAACTATACATGAAGTCTTCCACCTCCGGATGTTTCCGCCATCCTTGGTTTGGGGGTGTGACACATCTCCTGTGACAACCCAAAATTTCCATTTGTACGAACATTAGCTATTCAATAGAAGCTAGTCCAGTTTCAGTGATTTTCAGACTTGTCCGAACAAGTTTGTGTACATTAGGGTTTACGTTTCTGGATATATCAGGAGACTAGATGCTCCTGTAATTGTGAAACTTGAACATTGTAAGTTTCATAATGTTATAGTCCGACTTCCGGAATAAAAATCTTTTCTGTCAAAATATTTCAGGACTATAAATATATTTCTGAATTTAATTAATTCATTATTCACAATTCCAACTAGAGAAAAGCCAATTCTCTCTGACGGATCTTCGGGTTTTCATCCGGGATTGTGAGTCTACTTTCCTAAATGTGTTTCAATAGTTGTTATATGCTTTATAACATCAATTACATGTCTAAACTGCAAGATCTGGGAGTTTACCGCCCAAGAACGTTCTTGGGGAGTAAACTCCAAAACGAAGCCTAAAGGCTACCTAGTCCCATTTTCTTGTTAAGCAACTAGTTAAGGACTTAGTGTATGATCATTAGACGCTAGAAATCATTCAAGAAACACAAGTTATAGGAGTTTACAACCAAGGAACTCTCTTGGGCCGTAAACCCCTTTTTAAGGGCTATAAGTGCCCTAAACCACCCCTAAATCTTAAGGACTTTACCCTCTAATGCTTGTGCTTAATTTGGACACCAAAACACTTCAAAATCTTAGGGTTTTAGGAGTTTACGGCCAAGGAAGGATCTTGGGCCGTGAACCCCTTTTTCAAGGGCAAAGTATGCCCTAAACACCCTTAAAGACTTAAGACAATTAACCTTGACTACTTGGGACTTGAATGGGGAACAAATGACATCAAAATCACTCCTTAAAGGGAGTTTACGGCCAAGGAACATATCTTGGGCCGTAAACTCCAAGTGAAGGCACAAATGTGTGCCTCTTGTCCCCTTTAGCCTTAGATAAAAACATGGAAGCTATCCTACATGTGCAAGGGCCTCAAATGAATTAAAACCAACACCCCATAGGATTTTACGGCCGTAAACTGTAGGGTATATGGTACTTTCTCCGTAAACTCCCCAAAGGAGCATTCCAAGGCCTTAAACTACTTCAAGGATTATTCCAACAAGGCTAGGCTTATTCTAGGATCAAGATAACACTTCAAAACACCCAAAACCACCATGTGAGGAGTTCACGGCCGTAAACTCATGGGTTCACGGCCGTAAACTCCAAAGGGTGGAGTTTGTTGGGTGGTGAACTCATATACAAGGCCATTTGTGCATTAAACCCCCTTTGCCTTGTCCCGTATCAACTTAGATGCAACCATTAGGACCTATAACACTTATATAAAGTGTTGACATGTTCCTAAGTGTCTTAACTTACTTTTTTAAG